AGGTTTTTCACTGCTGTCAATCATAATTATGATCACAACTTAACGAACCTTGAAACACAGAAACACACAAAACAGATCAAAATTCACTAATCACAAATCAGAAACCATGACCTTTTGAACCCATTGAAGTGAACTTCTGTTTCCCAAGACTGGTGCTGAGATGATTGACAGCAGTGAAAAGTGCAAACGTCAGTTGACTTTTGAACTTCAGAACTTGCATGTTGATGAAAGTGCAGGAAAGTGTGAAAAACAAAAAAAATAATGTGCGATATTTTCTTTTCCTCTTTGTCGTTAGATACACCCCATCACCTCAGTTAGAACTGAGTGGTCCTGCAGATTTTGGTGTGACAGTAGCAGATGGGAAAGTATTAAGGCAGGAAATTTTTGTCTTAAATGAAGGATCATTGCCCGGAGAGTTTAAAATAAGATATACTGGAAATGAACCCATCACAATTATGCCATCTGGGGGTATTGTCAGACCAGGTGCAAAGCAAGGTGTTAAGGTAAACAAAAATTATATGTGTCATACATGAGGCTGTTTCATTCTTTGTTAACTTACACGTAGCAGCTCCCAGGTGCAACAAAGCACGGCAGTTACTTTCTGGAAACTGCTAGACAATCAGCTTTGCTTCCAAATAATACATTATCCATCAATGAAGTTACACTCACAGGCCCGTTAAGTTATGCAAAGTGATATAATGATATTATGCCTTACCTTTTTTAACTAAAAACTCACTTAGAGAGGGTTAATGGGAGGGATGGCCCTGCCCCCCTTTCTCCAGGATAAAAATAATAATATTGTGTAACATAAACAGAATAAAGAACCAGGAACACATTTATCCATAATCTTTTTTAAAGTAATTTGAATGTACATGTACTTATTGACTATTGCAAGGCTGATTTTGTTGGAATGACTATTATAACTATATTTTAACCCCTCCTTCTTCAGATTGAGTTTATTAGCAAGACACCTGGAAAACTCAATGAAGTGGCACAGTAAGTATTGAACTTTGAATAAACATTTTTTTATTTAAATCGACTTTGAAGGCATTTGATACTCTCAAAAGAAGAAAATATTATTCCCATCATTCTAATCAGGTATAATATGAACTGTGCGCATTCATCTACATTAATTTTAAACTGAGCAACTTCCAGCAATTATTATTTTTGTATGAGAGATTTACTGATCTTACCCCTCACAGTTTTGTGACGTTTAGTAGCACTACCAAATTAGGGCTAGGACTACCAAATGAGGTAATGAACATGTGCAAGTAAGCTAGAACTGGACGAGACAAGAAAAAAGAGTGAGTTTTCCTTGTAGGGTTTTCATTATGGTGTTATATCCCCGCCAAAATTCGACGTTTGCTTTTCATATTCATTTCCCATTATTTTTATTTTTGTTGTCTGCGATTCAGCATTGAAGTTCCACAATCCAACTTTGGAGTTCCATTATGCGACATTGAATTTTCACAACACATCTTGTTTTTAGAAGTTCCACTCATGTTACACGTTTCCTGCCATTCGACACACTTT